TAGTAAAAGACAACTCATTAATTAAAAACACTTAAACAATTAGGTCCAATTAATGCAAGAAAATACAATTAACCACTTAAACATATAATTCCAATTTAGTAAACAAAATAAAACAATTAACAATTATTCAAATAAAAAGACAATTAAAGAAAACAAGTTAATGAAAAATAAATGCAATTTAAACAATTTAATAAATACCAGGACTATGCTTTTGAAATTAGGGGTATTACAGAGTCCTCCTATGAAAGCGGTCAAAGCCATCTTGTCATTCACCTCTTCTGCCTGCAACATCTCTGTGTTGAATTGGGTGATGTATTCCCAGATCGACTCGCCCTTTTGTCGCTTCACGGTAAACAGGTAGGTGGCTGGCCTCCTATGCCTCTGACTTGCAAGGAAGTTGTTCACAAATTGCTTGCTCAGTTCTTCGAAGGTGTTAATGGTTCCTGGCTTCAACTTATTGAACCAAACTCTTGCCGATCCCTTAAGTGTAGTGGGAAAAGCTTGGCACATGATTGCATCTAGCACGGCTTGCAAATGCATAAGACCTTGAAAGGTTTCTAGGTGATCGAGGGGATATTTGGTCACATCGAAGCTTTCGAACGAGGCCATCCTGAACTTGTTAGGCAGTGGACATTTCATAACGGCGGGGATGAACGGCAAGTTGGTCCTTTGTACCAGGTCATCTATGGCGGCAGGACCTTTCCATTTCATAGCTTGCATTACATCTTCCATTTTCCCCTTGAGATCCTCGATTTGCGGATCAAAATAAGTAATTTTCTTTGTCTTTTCCTTAAAACAGAAAGCTGTGCCTTCATGAGGTCAGGAACTTCGTGGGAGAGATGGGTGGACCACCTCTCTATGTCGATTTCTCACCTAGCTTTGTTCCACTTCGGTCTCATTTTGGGGAGGATAATTATCCTGCTCTTCAAGATTCCTATTACCTCCGTTTTGATTTGAGAGATCTTGTCGTGGCAAGTTTTGTTGAACCGATGGAACAAGCTGTTGCAGGAGCGCTACATTTTGCTGGATCAACTGATCCATACCCTGACTCAGAGTTTGGACCTGTAGTTCCAACGTTGTAAGCCGTTCTTGGTCGTTTGGGACATCTAGGTTCTCACCCGACTCTTTCCCTTGACCAGATCCCTGCAACGGTATTCCTTCGGTAACTATACCGGACCGCAAACGCATATACCTAATTGAACAATATATAAAGAAATCGTAATTCCCACAGACGGCGCCAACTGTTGAGGGTGAAATCCACGCAGTCCGATACGACATCGTTTTCCTGCAAGGAAGAAAGGAGAAGATCGATGAACCTTGACGTTACCGGTGTGGTGCCTACCAAGAGCTCTCCGACGATCAAGTTAGTCACCGGAGGTCTAAAAAGAAGGCAGGGATTTAATAATAGGTTTTTCATCGTACCTTATTCCCGAGTCGTCTTCCTATTTATTTTACTTCCCTTACCCTTGATAAGGGAATATCATAATTCTTATCGCATAGAACTTATCACATGGAAATCTTATCCTTGATAAGATTTGTCATTATCCCATGAAACTTATCCAATAGAAATCATTATCCTTGATAACGAATTATTATCCTTCGAAAGTAGACGAGATCTGGCGGCTGGTCAACACTTAGTTGCCTCTATTGTTAGGTTAAGATATGTTAGGTTTATTTTTCCCTATCAACAACCATTTATGGAGAAACTTTTAGCTAGTTATTTTTCATTTGTATCGTTACAGTAGTTTAGAAATCAAGAAGCACAAAATGAGAAATGAATGGTCCAATTGAAAAGCTGGATGAAAAATAGTCGATTCACGCCAGTCCCCACCTTCACTAAAATCCCAGACCATGAGACAAGGGATTGCCCACTAGGAACTACAATAGCTTTGCCCTTAGAGATCAATAGAGTGAGACAGCCGACGGGACAGAGAGAGCAGCAGCAGAGGAAACGCCGTAGCCGGTGGTGCTGGACTGCCAGATGAGGTTGCCGTTGGGAATGATCTCATCACCACACTATGAAGGTTCATCCAGCTCCGAGGAAGAGGAACATCACGCTGTAATATGGCGTCGCTTCGACCCTCTCCAACGCACTGGCGTCGCTTCAACCCTCTCCAACACACTTACTTGTCGGCAAAAGAAGCTCCGAAGATTCCCTTACATCTTTGCTAGAGTTCCTGATCTTCCCTTCCACTCAAACACCGATGTTCCGATTCGCCGTTAACATCGACAATATTGGTGTCGACGCGATCAAGTACTCTGATCAATCGCCTAAAGCACGGAACTACCGATAAAATGGAGAGGAGTGGCCTCGTGCCGTATGTAGGGCTAATTTCAGTGCCGGTTACAGACCTAGTTCATGGGGGGTATCGAGGACTTGAAGGTGTAGACGACGTATGTGGGGACTAGCGTGATCTGGCTTTTCAACATCAACTTTCTATCGTCGTCAAACACCGGAGATGCCAGTATTGGGAGTGCGTCTGGTTACCCATGTTTCAGCGAGCCCTTCTCTGACAGCTACCCAACCCGAGGAACAGGAAAGAAATAGCTAAAATCGAGTCACTACAGTAACCTCGCTACTCAAATTTCATCACCCGACCGTCGGACTCACCATTCTCATCCACCTTCCGTTACGGGGTAATTTGGTCCAAAAATTTATCTCAAAAAATTGTTACACGATGTTAAGTTAAAATACCCCCCTCAGTATAGTCGAAGGGGGTTTCTTGCTAAAAGTATTCATAAAGGGTGTTTTTTGCAAGTGAGTGATAGTCGAGGGGGGTTTTTTTGCAATTCGATCATCCTATAAAAAAATTGAAGAAAATTTGATTTAATTAAGCATAGTCCATGATACCAAGGCATGTGGTGTGACCTAATGGTAATCTTCTTCTCTTTTTTTTTTCTTTTTTTTTTAAATCAAAGGTAAATAGTTGGAGTCTCTTCCATAATGTTGCATTTGGTGTGCAGAAACGGAATGGAATGCCCATTCTAACCATTCCTTTATTTGATATGCAATTTAGAGTGGAAATGACAATTCCATTAGAATGAAAATTCATTCAACAACTAAACCTATGGAATGACCATTCCATTCCCAAGTAATTTTTTTTAAAAAAATTAGTTTCCTAAAAAACCCTCATGTTCTAAGTCCAAAAATCACCACCAACTTCCACCACAATCACTTCCACCTTTCACCACCAACACCGCCTTCTTTTACCGCATCTACCGCCACCACCTTCCACCACCATCTTTTACCACAGCCATCGCCTTCCACCATCACCACTGCCTTCCACTACCACCGCCTTACAGTAGCACCATTGCCGCCGTCGCCTTCCACCATCACCGCCACTGTTACCACCACTGCATTTCACCATCTTCCACCACTACCACCTCCACTGCCTTCCACCACTACCGTCACCTACATCACTATATCCTTCAACCACCACCACCACCACATTAATGCCATCGCCTTTCACCAACACCGCTGCCTTCCACTATTGCCACCGCCGCCGCCTTCCAACATTACCACTTACACCATTACCACTTTCCACCTCCACCACCATCGTCACCACCATCCACCACCACAGCTACCATCATTTATTTTTAAAAAATTATAGAAGAATGTCATTTTGTTAATTTAATTTATTTTTTTATTAATAAGGATATTTTGGAGAACTCAATTTGAAATTTATTCTATTCTAAATTTAAAATTGGTCCAACCAAATACTTGAATGGTTATTATCATTCTATTCGTACATACAGTGATGTAGCCACAGGGGACAAGTGGGGGCGGTTGCCCCCACTGAACTTTTAATTTTTTAAAATTTTTTTTTTTTTTAATGGAAAGATTTTTGTATGTGTACTAAAATTTAATAGTGCACATATATATACTATATATACATAATTAAAAGCTCGTTCACGGTTTTACACTTTCCCACAAAATATAATATTTTTTTCACTTTCCCAAAATATTATATTCTACTTTCCAAAACAATATGATATTTTTTTTTACTTTCTCAAAATATTATATTTTTTCCTACTTTTTCCAAAAAATACAAGATATTCTCACATTTTTGACTTTACCACAAGCAAATGCGTTGTTTTCGTCGCATTTTCAATTTTTCAGTCTTCAATATTTTTTTTTTCTCGAGTCTTCAACATTTCACAAATTCACAATCCAAAAAAAACAAGCGGAACAACCATACCACTTTACCAGTAGACAAAAACTCGGTAAGTCGTACTATTTTTTTTTTATCATCTAAATTTATGATTATTATTTGATATTATAATTTTAATTAGAAAAAATATTAGTTATTTCTATCAAAATTATTTTAGGGCTTGTTCTTTCAAAATTTAGTTTGTGTAATTGTGTTACTAATTATTATTCTATAAATATGATTTAAGAATTTTGTTTTTTATTTGTAGGCTTGCAGCCCAAATCAATGAAATCACATATTCACTTACTCTATCAAATTTTACGATTGATTGAATTATATGGTTTTAACTTATAAAGTTAATTATCTTCATATCTTTGCTTTTTATTTTATTTTTAATATGAATGAATTTTTATTATGAATCGATTGACATACATGGTAGTTATTAAGAATGTTTCTTACCATGAAATTTTTTGGAATGAAATTGGTTATCAATTATTATGTAATTTTATTTTTATTTATTTTTACATATGTGATATATAATATATTAGAACAGTTAGATTTAAGTAACTATGTTTTTTTTTTTTTTTTTTTTTTTCATATCTTATTCTTCATTCATTGAATATGATTGTTTTTTTAGTATATTTATTTCATTATTTGAATGAACTTATTTTTGAAACAGTAATGAATAATCTGAAAAGATATTACAAAGAAATACAAGACTTACCATCCCCTCAACCTCAAGAAACAAATGATGACAACCCAAAAAAAAGTCATATGGAAATTGACTTACTAAATCTTCCTTCAGATCAACCTCAAGAAAGAAATGATGACAACCCAAAAAAAAGTTGTATGGAAATTGACTTACCAAATCTTCCTTCAGATCCTGGGTTACGAACTAGGATTATAGATTACAGTCCCAATATTCAAGACCAAATTCGCAGAGCATATATACTAAAGGGTCTTTGTCAACCTCGAAAACATAAATTTCCACAAAAGAAATTTGGACAAGCATCAGCGTTAAGACGATTTATTCCTGATTGGTTTAATGATTATTCTAATTGGTTAGAATACAGTATTTCAAAAGATGCATTATTTTGTTTACATTGCTATCTTTTTAAGCATAATATAGGAGAACAATCAGGTGGTGACTCTTTTGTTAGTGAAGGATTTTCAAATTGGAAGAAGAAAGACAGACTTCAAATTCATGTTGGAGAGCCAAATAATGCCCACAACCAAGCTTGGAATCAATATGAAGCTTTAAAGAATCAAAATCAACACATTCAAACAATAATGTTCAATCAATCAGACCAAACTCGAATTGATTATCGAAAGCGTTTGACTACATCAATTGATTGCATTCGGTATTTGTTAGAACAAGGGCTTGCATTTCATGGTCATGATGAATATGAGCATTCAAGTAATCAAGGAAATTTCCCCCAGCTTTTAAAGTTTTTTGCTAATCATAATGAGGATGTTAAATCAGTAGCATTAAAGAATGCTCCTGAAAATCTTAAGTTAACCTCACCTGATATTCAAAAGGATATTGTGAATGGTGCTGCATTGAAACTATTAATGTTATTATTAGTGATATTGGAGATGAACTATTTTCTATTATGATTGATTAATCTCGTGACATATCAACAAAGGAACAAATGGCTGTTGTATTTCGTTATGTGAATATGGATGGTGATGTAATTGAATGTTTTAGAGGTGTGGAACATGTTACAAGTACCACTGCTCTTTCACTTAAGATGGCAATTGATGAACTATTTTGTAGGCATGGACTGAGTATAACTAGATTGCGCGGGCAAGGATATGATGGAGCTAGTAATATGCAAGGCAAATTTAATGGTCTTAAAACACTAATTTTAAAGGAAAATGAATGTGCTTTTTATGTCCATTGTTTTGCTCATCAACTACAGTTGGCTCTTGTGAAAGTTGCAAAAAGTCATGTTGATATCACTACTTTTTTTAGCTATGTTGCTAATGTGGTCAATGTTGTTGGGGCTTCATGTAAACGTCGTGATATTCTTCATGAAAAACAAGCTACCATGGTTATTGAAGCACTCAATAATGGTGAAATTGAAAGTGGACGGGGTCTTAATCAGAATACTACTTTGAAGGATAATTTACACAGACCTCCCCTATGGTTTGTCATAATTTTAGGCGGCACTCCTCCTGTTCCAGAAATTACGCGAACCTCCCCTATTTTTTAAAATATCCTACACGAACCTCCCTTATGTGTGACGGACCGTTAAATACACTAACGGAGCTGTCAAAATTACTGAAATGCCCTTAATTCTCTATGGTAAATGACTAAATACCCCTTATCCCTCTCTCTCTCTCCTTCTTCTTCTGTCACATAATGCAAACAATTCATCTAGCCCAAATTGAACCGCCGTGGGCCAACAAGATAAGGGGAAAAGCCTAACACAACTGTTTGAGGTTAAGATCAGTTCAGAACTATAGCTTAAAGTAGATCAGTTCAGAACTGTAGCTTAAAGCAAAAAACAGAAAGAAAATCGATTGTATTTGGTGGCCTGTAGAGAGCATCCATGAGAGAGAGAGAGAGGAGAAGTATCATGGTGGATTATTGTGTGTATATAGTAGCATACATTAGATCTAGGATTTGCAGAGGTTACAAATTGAAGTCCAAGAGAAGAAAATTTGAAGATCAAATGGCCGGAGGATGCCAGAAAATTTGATAAAACAGAGACTTGCTTTGATGTGGGTATTTTTAAATCTGTAGTGGCTACAACAATATATATATATATATATACAATTTAGAGGCTTCCTTTGAATTGGGTTTTACATTAGATATGGGATAAAGGATTGGAATAAGAATTCCTTTTTGTCTGTGAGACCCATGCATAGAAAGAATTGGGTTCTACAGGGAACTGTCGAGTTATAAACCCATAAGGGTTTAGATTCTATAGCAACAAATTTAAGCAACCAAAAAACAAAGAAAAAAAAGAATTGAATTATGGTGAAGGAAGCTCAAACATTGTTAATTTGTTATATTATTTGAGTCAGGCAAATGATATATGCATCATCAACCAGCAATTGATGATATGAGTGTAAGAACCATAAATTTCAGTATTATATATATATATATATATATATATATATAAAGACGAGAAGAAAGAGATGATGGAATTAGAGATACCGCAAGTTCTACAACGTCCAAAGCAAACTGTTTGGCTTTGAGACCCGTGACGCCAATCTGCAGGCAATAGCCGAGGGCCGATTCTCGTGGCTCCCGGTGTTCCGGAGGTAGAGTCTGTGGTATGTCGTCGGTGCCACCGTGCAAGGCAATTGCCCACCCTATTCCTACTTTCTCACTTCACTGGATAGTGGGAATTGATCCCTTCTTTATCACGTATTTCAGAATGTCAGAAGTAATGCTTTTCAGGAATTCTCAAGACTTCTCTTTCAAGTTTCTCTGATTTTTCTTGCAATTTCCAAAATTCAATTCGTGAGGAATTCAATCAAAGGAAGTTTCTTTATCTCAAAAATCTACCACCGAGCCAATGCCTCGACTGGTTCAAAAGACAATACCCTCCCTCCAAAAGTTACTCCAAGCATCCGTGACAACAAACGAACAATCTCCAATTCATATATTATTTCCACTCTCCGGTGGAGTGAGAGAGTATATATATATATATATATATATATTTTAAATATAATCTAAAATTATATAGGCAAAGGTATTTTTGGCATTTCATAAAAAATAGGTGTTGACGTCATCATTTTTCGTTGTTGACTGGCGTTGACTGTAACGGAAGGGAGGTCTGTATAGGATATTTTAAAAAGTAGGGGAGTGTAATACCCCTAAAATTAAAAAGGATATAATTGAGATTTTACTATTTATTTTAAGTGTTTTATGTGTTTAGGTTTAATTGATTAAATTATTTATTCGTTCTTTATTTGATTTAATTGTTTAGTCTTTAATTAATTTAATTGTCATTTAGGTTGTTTTTGAATTGTTTTGTTGGTTAATTATTTTATGTAATTTAATTGTGGTTTTAATTAATTGGTTAATTATTTTTTATTTTATTTAATTAAATAGGTTAAATTATTAGGGTTTTGTCTCTTTACTGTCACATTTGAATAAAACCGCCTTGTTTAATTAAGCCGCCTTAGAGATGTAAGGAATTGTTGATTTTCGTCTCTACGATTAAAGTAGAATTAGGGTTAATATCTTTTCCTAAGCCTATAAATAAAATAATAAGGGTCTGCTTAGGGTTGTAAGCACAAACCTTATTCACGAATAGTGAAAATACAGAGAGTGAAACAGAGAGTTTAAGGGAAAAACTGAAGGAGAGGAAGGTAGGGTTTGAGCCAAAGATTGTAAGCCGGACTAAGGAGGAAGCTTGAGGGCTGTTTAAGGGTTAGAACAGGAGCAGAGGACTCCTTGACGGCGATCACGATCGCCGAAAAGTCTAGGAAGAAGACGACGTTGAAAGGTTTCAAACCGAAACCGAAAGGCAAGTTCTTTTCTTCCTCCTTCCCTTTGGCTTGTGTTCTGTGCACCTAGATAGTCTCTAGGGTTTAATTAATCAGGAACTGGAATTTACATGGTTAATATATGCTATATTGATGGCTGTTCGTTGTTGAAATTAAATCTGTTACAATTCGTGCAAGTCTGTTTAGTTTTGTTTTCTTAAAGCATGTAAATTCTATTGGAATTTTAGTTACTGTATTTTCTTTCAATAACTGTAAACGAATGATTGGGATGCTACTGGGATTAGATAAGACTCCTAAGTTCAGTAGTGAAGAGGAACAGAGGGGATTTGAATGGAATTGATATTGCAAAATAGTTTCAGTTTTGTTCCTAAAGCATGTTTTGTTTCGGTAACAAATTTAGTTTTAATTTAATTTCAACATCTGTAAACGAATCATGGGAATGTTACTAGGGTGTTATAAGACACTTAAGATGAGTTTTAGAAATCAACAGAGTGGTAGGAATGGTCCAGAGACAGAGCAAACAGACTGAAATGAAGCAGAAACGGACTGAAGCTCTCAGAGGGGGAGGAATTCAGCTTTCCCATGAGTAGAGCCAGCTCTAGAAAGAGTAGAGCAGGCTCTACCTCAACAAGAGCAGGCTCTAAACTCCTCTGAGCCGGCTCTAGGCTGATTACAGCCTGCTCTAATTTTCCAAGAGCAGACTCTACCCAATTTCATGCGTACTGTGACTTTTTAAGCTACTTTTTGGGCACTTGGTGATAAGCGCTGAATACTGTATATTTAAGCGCCCTAAATTGCATTAGTTAAGTCCGTTGTTTGTTTAATTAAGTAGATTATCTTCATTTGTGTGTATGTATATATTTTCAGGTCCATTTGCCAAAAAAGGAGCAAAATCAAGGCTTTGTGGAGTTTTGGCCATCAAAAGGCACAAGGCTGAATTTCTGGCAGCAGTGGATCCTGAACTTTGCTCGCCATTTTGACCTTCCTAACTCAAGAACTGGACTTCCCTCATAACATAAAAGATTTAGAGCTCTGAATCAGCTTTCCAAATCTTCAAACGGTTTGTCATTCGGAGCTCGGAGCAGAGAGTTATGGCCTTGTTACCAGAGGCGCGCAGAACTGCCTAGCAGCAATGAAATTCTGCCTTGATCTTCATTTTCGACCAACTATCCTTGAGAATTGGATCTCCACCAAAACATAAAATATTTAGAGCTCTGAATTAGCTTTCTAAATCTTCAAACGGTTCATCATTCGGAGTTCGGAGTGCAAAGTTATGGCTGTTTAACCAAAGTAGGTCTGGGCGGAGCAAGTGAAGCATGGGCATTTTTACACTAAATTCGAGTGCTCGAGGCCTTGCTTAGAGTGCTCGAATTTTGGGCAGAATGCCCTTCGGAAATGGCTCATTTCAGCCCACTTGCACCTTGGTTTCTTCACTTTGCTTTCCTCTTTAATGAAGTGGTTGGAGATGTTGGTTGGTGACCTTTTGGTGGTAGATAAGGCAAGGAAGGCCACACATATCATTATCCCATATTCTACAAGATTAGAAGAGAGAGAAGAGAGCAAAGGGAGAGAGTTCTTCAAGCTTGAAGAAGGGAGCACGAAAATGGAGGAGGTCTTCAAGCTTCTTCCTTCTTCTAGCTCACCAATGGGCAACTAAACCTCATCTAGGGAGGTGATGAAACCCCTCCCTTGTAAGCATGTGTTAGTATAGTTTATTTTTGGGGATTACAATGTATTTTTGATAGTCTTTCCATGATCAAGAGCCTCATTTTTGTTGTAATGAATGTTGAATGTTTTAAATGATTATTGTGAGTTATTCATCTTGTCTTGGATGGTTGCTTTTCTTAATCATATTGCTTGCACTTCCATGGTGACAATGGAAGTTAGATCATGGAATGGTTTTAATGGCATGGAGTTGGAGAACCTAGATAGTTCATGGCTTAGGGTTTCCCTTTGATGGGCTATACTTGATTCTTAGCTTTATGTGCATTCACCATTTAAATTAGGGCTTGATAATCCTTGGCTTAGTAAGCATGTTCTAAGCTACATTTTAGTTTAGGTAGTTGATCATGTGAACCTTTGATGGTTTATTCTTGCCTTTCTATTTAAATGAACTTCTTAAGGATATTATAGCAACCTAGTATTGTTATGTATCATGACTATCATATATGTTGTTTTCCCCTTAAATTAATCTTAACCTAGCATGTGTATAGGGATGACTCCCTTGAATTCTTGCAATTTATTGTTTTATGCACTTTTAATTTCCTAGCTTAAGTGACATCCAACAAAACCTCTATACACCCTTCATCATTCTAAGAATGATTCTAGACATTTAGGTTGTATTAGACTAGCGCAGTCCCTGTGGTTCGACTTACCCGACCAATAGCCCTATTTTACAATGATTCGTGCTATTGCGAAGGTTGATGTTTAGTTGATCAACCGATCAATTTTTGGCGCCGTTGCCGGGGACTGCAAACGGTTTAGCAACCAAAGTTTCTAGGGTTAAATTTAGTTTGATTGTGAATATTGTGTCTTGTGAATATTCCTTGTGTGTTTTGACCACCTTTGTGTTTTAAGTGTTGTAAGATTCTAGGGACTCGGAGCTCGCCGTGGGATTGCTAGCAAATTGTAAGTCTAGAGGACCCCAGGTAAGTCTCTTGACTTCTAGTTTCGCATTGTGAATATTGTGTATGTGTTTAATTTAGTTGTGAAGCCCTTGTCGAGGCTCTTAACTTGTTTATATTTTGTG